TTGCTGTTGGTGTTGGTGTTGGTGTTGTTGGTTGTTGTCAGCCTCAGCTAGCTTTGGTTAGCGTACTAGGCCAGTTGCTGCGTTGTTTTTTAGTGCTAGTGCTCAAGCAGTCTACGAAGAACCTCCGCATCATTCAATTGGCCCACAGCCCTTCCGAAACAGGGTTTGCCCAAAAACACAGAAATTATTCGGTTTGAACATTGGCATGACATTGTAATTCTGCCACCGACTGCGCCGTTCGCGGCTGGGGGTGGAGATTGCAGCAATCCAACGCTGGCTTCAGCACTTAACCCGAGGAGAGGACTGGGCCGCAGAGGACTTGGGCGTGGAGCTCACTCTTTGGGCTGCACTTGCAGCCACTGGGTGGGAATGTCACCAAAGAAGCGCCGGGTCAGCTGGTTCCAAAAAGATCATGTTGTGAAGTCTTTGCGGCTGTGGGCTGTGGGTGGTTAGTGAATCTGAAATTATTTGCTTCCTGGCATTTTTGCGGGCTCCCAATAGATTGTCGGTGGTGTTTCAGGCTCCCCACTGTATTGGGTTGCATGCCTGCATTGCCTGACTTACGGCATGTTTGTGTCGGTGAGCATGCCAACAAATGGGGCGGCCATGTTCGACCGCACGAATTACTTATCGCGAGTGGTGAGTGACCCAGCCATTTTGGTAGTTCCAAGGTACCCAAGCTAAAACATACCTCAATGGCGTGAACTATCTTTCATGTTGAGAGTGGGCAAATGCGGCTTGCAGTGTTGGGAGTTGTTGCTATGTTTTGCAATGTTTTGATGAGTAACTTACGGATTTTGTGTACCACATTTTGTTCTAGACATGTTATGAGTGCCTGCTGAACCTGATGTTCGCTGCATATATTGCTCAATATGAAAATCATATCTGAAGCCACTACCTCGCCCCTACAAGACACCTGGCATCACACCTGCCATCATTCGTGCTATCCCGAGCTCTAAATCAAGGTTTCGTTCAAAGATGGGCGTAATATGGCCCATGGGGCATAACCTATGCCTCCATTTTGGGGTGGATGAACATCCATTTGCCATCTATTTTGATGTTCACCACGGGTACATGGCTTTGACCCACAGCCATATGGAGCCCCGACCTGGGGATACTCCAACAGGTGATCAGCGCACAATATCCCCATCGCTAAACCAAGGCCATCACATGTTTCTCACCAAAAGCTGTGCTGGACACTGTTTCACTATGGAAGAACATGGATTGGGGGCGGGGTCGCTCTTCGGGGTGCTTCGATTTCGCTTGCGAATGTTTGTAGTATGTGGTTCCATTACCTGTACCTGGCTTAGTTGGAATGATCGTACAGGCATAAACCTGCACAACCAGCTGCTCAGGTTGCCATGCGTTGGTATGTTTGGCGCAGAGTCCGTGCCATTCACGTTTTATGGTTTTCACAGTTTACCCAACCGACATAATTGGAATCTCCAGTGACAAACTTGCCTGGACGGTTCAGACCAAAATCCTTGGAACCTCCAGGGCCCTTAGTCCCCAAGACCTAAACTCTCGAAACTCAGACAAACCTGCCGATTCAATGTCTTCTCTGGGACTTGGCCTTTTGCCTGCCCAGCGACTGCCAATGTTTGAAGGCCAAGTTGGTCACCACGCTGCTGGCCCTCGCTCTGCCAGTGCCCACGGGTGTGGTGGCGCCCAGTATGGTGCTGGGCGCCTTGCTGATGCGAGCCATCTGCACCCAGCTCCCAGATGGGTGCCTTGGCAAGGTCAGGTCAACCCTCAGAAAGCATTTGGAAGCTTGGGACAGGGGTTTGATAAAATGTGTTCTTGGTGATTGTTGGTGTTGTTGCTGCGGTGGCAGCTATGGCAATCAAATATGGTCCTTATGTAGAATGGCTGCGGTGGTTCTTGGTATTGTATTGTTTACACATAGTCTGTGAAGGCATGGCAGGGGACGCTGTCATTGCACCTGCAACGCTCACTGGGCGCTTGGCAGCTTAGCAATGTAGATGTGAACTACTGTTAAGCTTGAGTGAGGCAAGTTTGATAGCCTACCCAAGTAGCGAACACTGTTTCATTGTTGACTCAGTGGCCTCATGCACACAGTTCTGTAAAGAAAGTCGAAGAAGCATGAAGACATCAACAACAAGCTGTCACCTTCGGTCCTTTATTTCACAGGTGACGAGTGCAGAGATGGCCCTTCCTTTAACCCTCCTTTACTAGCCATCAATTGGCTGTGGGTGAATGAAGGGGCAGGAATGGCTCCCTGGTCACCCATTATTATTTGCTGCAATTATAGCTTCTCCAAATTCAATGATTCTATGATGGGTGAACAGATTTCTATCAACCACGGTCTAACTCATGCACAGAGAACCAAGAGGACTGTGGTCAAGAGCTAGGTGAACAGGCATTGATTGGTTTTTTCTTGTCTATCATACAATTTCCTTTTAATTAGTGGTCAACTGATGGACAAGAGGATGAGAGAAGCCATTAAACTGTCCTATCAATTATATTCATTTAATCTTGGAATGGCTTCTCTTTACCATCAAGGATCCTCAGTTTCAGAGTTTACAAAATCGTAGAAACATAGAATTAATCAATAGGATTCTTGATTACATCCTCCATCATCTCTATCCCAATTGCTAGGATGTGGAACAACAATGAGAGATATAAATGAGCCAACAAGAAGTAGTGAATATTTTAGATTCAACAACTGCTAAATAATTTGTACATCCTCTTGTCCCATCTCTTCCTTCACTCACTTCGCTCGGTTGGAAGTGTTTGTAAGCCCGAGATACAAGACCCTGAGAACTTGGATGAAGTCAAGCCTTTGGTAACAGTCTGGCGTTAGCTGACTTATCTTCCTAATTTTTAGGAAATTATGGGACTCAAGACTCGCAGACTCCAATTCTGGCCTGGAACGCGGATGTTGCTTGTGCAAAGCCGTTTAACCTGTCTTGAGGCCGCACCAATCGACGCCAAACATGGCTGAAAGAACAACGTCTCAAATCAAAGGCCAACCAAGTTCAGCTCGCTTTGAGGCAGAGCCATTTGTGTGTCTGTGTTTTCGAGGGTAGTAAATTCCCTGTTTAGAGCACAGTCTAAAGGCCAACGCAATTTTTGGGCCCCCTACAATGACATACCGCCATAAGGCCTCGACCAAAGTGTCGTCTCCGATGCTCCGATGCAGGTTCTTTACCCCGCTGCTGAGACAGGAGGACGATTTAGGCGCCTTCTTGGCGCGACTCAGTGGCTTGGATGTCAAATGATTCCGGAACAACATGGGGCCGACTTTTGGTTGGTCCTTTGCTTTTCTCGATTGTGTTATGCGTGTTGCTTGCTTTTCGTACTTGGTGTGTATTTGCTGAATGCGTAGTGGAGTGTAGTGTAGTGAAGCGACGTGAAGTTAAGTAAAGTGAAGCGAATGGAAGCGAAGTTAAGTGTAGTGTAGTGAAGTGTTGTGTTGTTGTCGTTCTCGTTCTCGTTCTCGTTGTCATTCTGGTGGTGGTGGTGATGTGTGGGCAGGCGTGGACGGGTGCGGGTGGGCGAGGAACAGATTTCAATTCAGCAGCTGCGCTTCAGCAACTAGGCCTCGGAAACCACGGCTCCATCAGCCATGCAGCATGTGCTTCAGAAACTTCGGCTCAGCAACAAAGAGCTCGTCCGCTTCAGCAGCTTCGCCTCAGAAACCATGCTTCAGAAACTACGCTTCAGCCAAACCTCCCCTCTTCAGCAACTACGCTTCAGAAGCTGAAATTCTCTGCTCGCTTGAGCAACAAACAAATCCTCTTCAACAACCAATAGGGGGAGCTAAAACTCTCCATGGCGCGGGTGGCGTGGGGTGGGGAGTGTTCGCGGTCCGTCGAGGTTCACCGGAAATTATTTGTCGGCATTTGAGTCTTCTTGGAAACTTGACGCATTGCTCCTGGCGTGATGCTCCCGTGCAGAACCTTGGCTAGAGCGGTTGGCAGTAGACCTCTTGGGTGCCTATGGCGGTGTGATCAAAGAAGCGGACCAACGCTCCAACACGCTGTCAGGCTGCGCGCTTGTGCCTCACGCATTCCTCAATTTGAGAAAGCAACCCGATTAGGCGAAATAAAGCCGCATCCTGGAGCGATTCTTGAAGCGACACGAAGCGATACCCCAAAATAAGCACAACCCCTCCGCGGTGAATCTCTGACCTTCAGATCCAGGAAAAGCGTCGGAGCTTGTAAAGCTTGTCAAAACTGCCTTGTGGGGTGGGGGGTGGAGGTGGGGTGGGGCGGGGAGTGGCGTTCCTTCGGAGTTAGCCGGAAATCATGTAGCCGCATTCGGGGGTGGGAGGTGGGGAGTGTTGGCGTTCGTCGCGACATAATTTATATAAATCATATTAGCCTCACGATGATGATGAAGATGATAATGGGGCCACTACACCTGATGATGATGATGATGATGATGATGATGATAATGATGATGATGATGATGATGATCCACCACACCGCAGGGTTGCCGCCTGCCTTCACGGTGTGCAATCTGGGGTGTGCTCCCAGAGTTTTTGTTGCCTTCGAATCCGAGAACCGTGGCTTCGGGCCGAGAAGCTGTTCTTTGCCTCTTTCCACTGATTGCTTGCCGCCTGCCACAATGTCTTGCGCGCCGCTTGCGGCTCGCCGCTTTTGCCAAGTTAGGTTTTTGGATTTGTGCCGGCCACTTGTTGAAGCTGGCCCTTGGTAGTGGGCCCTGGGTGGGTGGGATTGAGATCGAGACTTTTGCATGTTCACGTCTTAAGCCTTGTCAACCCTAGGCATTATGCCAAGACGGGCGAATTTTCCTTCAGGGAGACGCCCTCCTTGTTTCATTTGATGTTTTTCCCAAAAGAAACACCTGGGGCTGGGCTCGTTGATGTCGAGTCGAGGCATTTTGGGCGCCTCTGCCTTCAGCTGCGCGGTGGTGCGCGCCTACGGCGTGGCCATCACCACCTTCGAGGCCAAAACTGAGCTTCGGGGAGCTGAAAGCTATGGGGTCGATAGGACCATATGGCCATGGACCAAAATCCAAATGGTACCCCCAGTGAACATCCCAATCCACTAAAATGGGTGCACCTACCCCAAAATGGGACCATTGGTTTTGACCCACCGCCATATAGGCTATGGGTTTTTTGGGGGCAGCTGTCAGGGAAGTTTCCGGGGATGTTGGGGATACCGCCTGGCCTTTCTTTGGGCGGGGGGGTGATTTGGGAGCGGGTTCCATAAAGCCAACTACAAAAACAGTGGGCACCTTTGTTCTTCCGTGGCCAATGGGGGTTTGGGCCTGTTTGGGATGCTTAAACAGGGCTTTTGATGGGCTTGCACATTTGCATGTTTGTTGCTGGAGGCACGGGTACTTGGCCTTTGGAGGTCCAGGAGATACAGCCAAAAGGAGGGGAGGCTGAAGGCAAGCCCCTGGCGATGGGGTTTAAGTGTTTGTTTTTCCACCTGTCACACGCGAATTTGGGAAAGCCCATGCCAAGGGTCAAGCGTCGAACCGTGTCACTTGAAGGCCTCGTACATGGCCAATGTACTTGCGGTACCTGCCTGGAGATTCATTCTCCGGCCTTTTCCTAGGCGTTTTAGTTTCCTGGTAGTTTTGGGCGTGTTGGGCGTTCTAAGTGGTTTCTAGGAGTTTTGCGCGACCCCCGATCCCAAAAAGTTTTTTTTGTTCGTTCTCTGATTTGCGGGCGTTTGCGGGCGTTTGCGGGTGTTTGCGGGCTTTTTGCGGGCGTTGTGCGGGTAATTCTGGGCGGGGAAAACGTGAAACCGTACCAATTCTGAAATCTCACAAAAATATGGGAGCTTTAGTAGTTTTAGGCGACTTCACGAAAAAAAACAACATCGAGATTTACGAAAAGCAAGTCAAAGCCGAGAACTACCAGGAAATTCATGGAGAATGAATCTCCAGGTGGGTACCTAAGGTGGGTCCAATTGTCAATCACGCTTCAGGTCAATGAACAGTTTGGGGTCATGAAGTAGAAATTCTGACAAACGTCACACACGTCTCCCCAGTTGAATCGGAACAGATTGGAATGGAGGGCTGCAGGCACGGCGTTTGCTCTTTTCAGTAAGCAGAAGCCACGCAGGGCTAACTTGCACTTTTAGCGATTGGCATGTCGGTTTTGGGTTGTGTTTCCTCTTATTCTCCGGAGTTTCTGAACAATGAACTGTTTTCACAGAGCCGAAATGTTCGAGGCGCATTGTCTATAGGGCATCCATGTGGCATAGGTTCGCTGGCAGGCCATGGCCCTGAGCAACATGGGGGTGCCGTTGAGCCTCAGCAGCCTCACCGCCATCTTCGTGGCGGACCTCATCTCGTTGCCCTTCTTTGACACTGCCCTGGCCGCCTGGCTGATTCGAATCCCAAAAAGGCGTGGCAAATGGCCGTTTTGAGTTTCTCACTGGCTGGGATGGGCCGAACTTTTAGATGAATCATTCCCAGCGTCCTCTTTGTTTCCCAAAGGCCTACGGTTTGGAATGTGTTCTTTGTTTCCTCAGCGACCAAGTTTAGTTGGCAAACAGATTGCCTAGTATAGCTTATGGGTGAAACTATTTGGGGAAGCGGCATCAAGATGGTCGGCATCAAGATGGTCGGCATCACTCATGTTGTGTTTCTTTCAAGAGACCACGTGAGCAACGATCAGCCGTTTTTGAATCATATCTAGGTAAGTTTGTCGGTATGTCTCACAACAAAGATCCGTCACCTTCGACTACAGAGGTGAATTCTGGTAACAAGCTACCCGAAACCCAATTCGCTCTGTCGCTATATCGCGGAAGATGTGTTTTCCGTTCGTGTCGCTTGGCTTGGAGTTGCCTAGAGGACGGGGAGTGCATTTGTTTTGCAGGCAACCCTTCAACTGTTCGTGGTAGATGTTGTTGCTCTTTGAAGAAAGCCCCAAACTGATCAACCTGGTCACTCCAGAAGCTTGTTGAGGTCCTGAATTGTTTCTTTGTTCTTTCTGCTTGTGGTGTCAGCCAGGTTTGGGTTGGGGCAGCCCGGGCGGCACTGGCGGGTTGACACGCGCACGTGTGCTTATTCCGCAGTACCTTGTGCGAGTCAAGCAGGATCAGGTTCAAGCTATGGAAGCTCGTGAGAAACGTTTGTTCGCCCAGGATATTCGGTATTGTGCGATCATGTTGGATCTTAGAAGAGGCTTCAAACTCAATGATGTGGATTCCGAACGTTGCAAGAGCTTACTTATGGCCATTGCTGACTTCCCATCAAATCAAACCACCAAGCCACATCCCAGCGACCACGGGCATGTGGCGAATGGCTAATGGTTCCTGAGGTTCGAAAGGGCTGGCAGGGAGTGAGCCAAATGACCTGCACCAACCACGCAGAGGAGCCGGCCTTCCTAGCGACTTTGGTAGCACTCTCTCCGCAAAGCGCTGCTAGGACGTGGGATTGGGGCATGTGCCTAAAAGGGGGGGACACTCAAAATGGTTTTGGGTGTTTGCTGCCTTCAAACCAGCTACCGGCAAAACACCCACACACACACACTGTAAATGCCCGCCCCACGCTTCCTCAACTCACCCATTTAATGTTGCTTAGCTTTGAAGTGAGGAGGCTGCTGGAGCAGCTTTCTAACCATGGCTTCTGATTTTGGACCACAAGCAGCCGCCTGCATTCAGGTCATGCAGCCGCATTCCGAGTTCATTTCATTGCCGGAGATGGCAAGGCCAGGCGTGCTGTGAGCTTGCCGGGCCATAAGGGCTATTTGTGGGATGCTTGCAGGCTTGTCTTGGCCCTGAGCCCTTTAAAACTGTTTGCTTGTGCAGTACCATTCATGGTTTGGCAACTGACCCGCTGCATGCACCATCGTCGTGATAATGTTGTTTTTCCCCGCTGGAAAGCACTTTTGTTGCACCTGAGACGGGCGGCACATGTCTGTGTTTCCACCGCAAATAGGAACTTGAGTGAGAGCGGGATTGAGAGTGGGTGATTGAGAGCAAGCTGGACAAACACAACACACACATACACACACCGCAGCCATAGCTTGATGTAAGAAATCTTCACGCTTCTCCGCATGAATGACGCCAGCTACTGGTCATGTATACATGCTGGGATTATGGGATTGACAGCTCAAAGAATGGCTCTGAGCTGTTGTGTGGCCCAGGGGTAATCAAAGTCAGGCAGTTTGTGGTATGATTTGTCTTCCTTCCTGCTGAATTACAACGGCACTTGTTCACTCTGGGGGGCAGATAACTGCAGGAGTATGTGTATATATATATATATACAGTATATATATATACTTTAGAGCCTCCGGCTCAGTCCGCCGACATTGTCCTCTCCCTTTTCTCCTTCTTCCTCTCTTCCTTGTCTCCCTTGTGTGTTCTGTCGTCCTCTCTCCCTCCCTCTGCTCCCATCCTCCCCATCCCCCCAAGCCTCTCTCTCCCCACTCTCCTCTCTCTCGTATGTATGCATGCATGTACTGTATGTATGTATGTAATGTATGTATGTATGTAATGTAATGTAATGTAATGTATGTATGTATGTATGTATGTATGTATGTATGTAATGTAATGTATGTATGTATGTATGTATGTATGTATGTATGTATGTATGTATGTATGTATGTATGTATGTATGTATGTATGTATGTATGTATGTATGTATGTATGTATGTATGTATGTATGTATGTATGTATGTATGTATGTATGTATGTAATGTATGTATGTATGTATGTATGTATGTATGTATGTATGTATGTATGTATGTATGTATGTATGTATGTATGTATGTATGTATGTATGTATGTATGTATGTATGTATGTATGTATGTATGTATGTATGTATGTATGTATGTATGTATGTATGTATGTAATGTAATGTATGTATGTATGTATGTATGTATGTATGTATGTATGTATGTATGTATGTATGTATGTATGTATGTATGTATGTATGTATGTATGTATGTATGTATGTATGTATGTATGTATGTATGTATGTATGTATGTATGTATGTATGTATGTATGTATGTATGTATGTATGTATGTATGTATGTATGTATGTATGTATGTATGTATGTATGTATGTATGTATGTATGTATGTATGTATGTGTATGTATGTATGTATGTATGTATGTATGTATGTATGTATGTATGTATGTATGTATGTATGTATGTATGTATGTATGTATGTATGTATGTATGTATGTATGTATGTATGTATGTATGTATGTATGTATGTATGTATGTATGTATGTATGTATGTATGTATGTATGTATGTATGTATGTATGTATGTATGTATGTATGTATGTATGTATGTATGTATGTATGTATATGTATGTATGTATGTATGTATGTATGTATGTATGTATGTATGTATGTATGTATGTATGTATGTATGTATGTATGTATGTATGTATGTATGTATGTATGTATGTATGTATGTATGTATGTATGTATGTATGTATGTATGTATGTATGTATGTATGTATGTATGTATGTATGTATGTATGTATGTATGTATGTATGTATGTATGTATGTATGTAATGTATGTATGTATGTATGTATGTATGTATGTATGTATGTATGTATGTATGTATGTATGTATGTATGTATGTATGTATGTATGTATGTATGTATGTATGTATGTATGTATGTATGTATGTATGTATGTATGTATGTATGTATGTATGTATGTATGTATGTATGTATGTATGTATGTATGTATGTATGTATGTATGTATGTATGTATGTATGTATGTATGTATGTATGTATGTATGTATGTATGTATGTATGTATGTATGTATGTATGTATGTATGTATGTATGTATGTATGTATGTATGTATGTATGTATGTATGTATGTATGTATGTATGTATGTATGTATGTATGTATGTATGTATGTATGTATGTATGTATGTAATGTATGTATGTATGTATGTATGTATGTATGTATGTATGTATGTATGTATGTATGTATGTATGTATGTATGTATGTATGTATGTATGTATGTATGTATGTATGTATGTATGTATGTATGTATGTATGTATGTATGTATGTATGTATGTATGTATGTATGTATGTATGTATGTATGTATGTATGTATGTATGTATGTATGTATGTATGTATGTATGTATGTATGTATGTATGTATGTATGTATGTATGTATGTATGTATGTATGTATGTATGTATGTATGTATGTATGTATGTATGTATGTATGTATGTATGTATGTATGTATGTATGTATGTATGTATGTATGTATGTATGTATGTATGTATATGTATGTATGTATGTATGTATGTATGTATGTATGTATGTATGTATGTATGTATGTATGTATGTATGTATGTATGTATGTATGTATGTATGTATGTATGTATGTATGTATGTATGTATGTATGTATGTATGTATGTATGTATGTATGTATGTATGTATGTATGTATGTATGTATGTATGTATGTATGTATGTATGTATGTATGTATGTATGTATGTATGTATGTATGTATGTATGTATGTATGTATGTATGTATGTATGTATGTATGTATGTATGTATGTATGTATGTATGTATGTATGTATGTATGTATGTATGTATGTATGTATGTACGTATGTATGTATGTATGTATGTATGTATGTATGTATGTATGTATGTATGTATGTATGTATGTATGTATGTATGTATGTATGTATGTATGTATGTATGTATGTATGTATGTATGTATGTATGTATGTATGTATGTATGTATGTATGTATGTATGTATGTATGTATGTATGTATGTATGTATGTATGTATGTATGTATGTATGTATGTATGTAATGTATGTATGTATGTATGTATGTATGTATGTATGTATGTATGTATGTATGTATGTATGTATGTATGTATGTATGTATGTATGTATGTATGTATGTATGTAATGTATGTATGTATGTATGTATGTATGTATGTATGTATGTATGTATGTATGTATGTATGTATGTATGTATGTAATGTATGTATGTATGTATGTATGTATGTATGTATGTATGTATGTATGTATGTATGTATGTATGTATGTATGTATGTATGTATGTATGTATGTATGTATGTATGTATGTATGTATGTATGTATGTATGTATGTATGTATGTATGTATGTATGTATGTATGTATGTATGTATGTATGTATGTATGTATGTATGTATGTATGTATGTATGTATGTATGTATGTATGTATGTATGTATGTATGTATGTATGTATGTATGTATGTATGTATGTATGTGTATGTATGTATGTATGTATGTATGTATGTATGTATGTATGTATGTATGTATGTATGTATGTATGTATGTATGTATGTATGTATGTATGTATGTATGTATGTATGTATGTATGTATGTATGTATGTATGTATGTATGTATGTATGTATGTATGTATGTATGTATGTATGTATGTATGTATGTATGTATGTATGTATGTATGTATGTATGTATGTATGTATGTATGTATGTATGTAGTAAGTAAGTAAGTAAGTAAGTAAGTAAGTAAGTAAGTAAGTAAGTAAGTAAGTAAGTAAGTAATGTAATGCATGTAATGTATGTACGTATGTATGTATGTGTGCATGCATGCATGCATGCATGCATGCTTACATACATGTATGCATGTATGTATGTATGTAATGTATGTATGTATGTAATGTATGTATGTAATGTCATGTAATGTCATGTAATGTAATGTAATGTAATGTACTGTATGTATGTATGTATGTATGTATGTATGTATCCTTGCACTTCCCCTTTGCTCCCCAGTATTTCCCGCAAAAAAACACGGTTTTTCCAGCGTTTTCGCAAAGAGGACGTCCAAAAACATTGAGTTTTTCCAGATTTTCGGCAAAAGGATGCAGGAAGCCCAAGCCAGCAAAAAAGCCGGCAGGGGGAATCGAGCCTGGGACCCCTGTTTTGCGACACCGGCTCCCCGAAGACTACGTTTAGTGGAACGTCATCAAATTGCCGCGCGGTACGTGGGGGACCCCCCCCCCCCCAAAAACCTACGTAATAGACGTCGGGCGGGGGGGGGTTAGGGGGGGGGTTATCCTCTATCCTCTAGTAAGTATCCGACACGCCGAGCAATGTCGGCGGATATACATGAGTGATGAACGAGCTAATTAACATTTAAACATGCACTGACGCGGTGAGAGTGCCCTTAAGAGCTGAGATTGCACTGTAACATGAGATGGTCCCCCTCAATCTATATCCAGGTTGGAACAAGACATTTTTCAGGAAACCATGCAAAGCGAGATGACCCGAGATCAAGTCTTAGTCACTGATGATGCAAAGGCTGGTTGCGGCATTGTGGGGAGGCAAGGCAATTAGTCAACTGCCCATGCATGCGAGACTTAACAGGAAGTGTTGGCGCTTCCAATGTGCAAGAGAGGCGCATGTTTTCGCGCCAGCCTGGCATTGCCAGGGCTTGAAGACCCAAGGGTTGGGGTCACATCAGGTGGACCCAGTCCAAGTCCAGCCGCTTTGATGTCAAAGAAGGCAACACAGGTGATTGCCAACAACGGGGGGTTTTGACTGCTTGTTTGTTCAAGCTACTTTAAAAATCGTGTTAGAATAATATATATATATATATATATATATGTGGCGTAGAATGAGTAGGCCGAGTAACCCTGGCAACATGCAAAGTATACGCCGAACATTCGAATCTTTTTTTCCTCGTGAAAGATTCGAGCGCTTAGCCGGTTCAGCTTGGAGCACGTGGATGCGGCCCTGCGAGCGACGCCGCTGGAGTTCAGCTTTCCAGTGATCTCCACAGATGCAGCTCGTCGGACTCGGACAAACTGTGGATGCACAAAACCCTCCACCTAACCCTGGAATGAGTCACCTGTCAATACCAACAATGGTTTCCCATGGTTTCAAAGTGGTGCAGGATTTCGCTCATACACAGTATGCTTGAGTTGGAGGTGTTGTGTGTGTGTGTTCTACAGCACCCACAGTGACTTGCAACCTGTTCGTCACTTTGTAGGCAAAGTGAGTGAGACAGCGTTGTGGCAATCGGCTGTCGTGCGTCTTTCTTTTGACTTGCATTGTGAAGCATCCAGATCCACATTGGTGTGCAGGTCAATGAGGTATCAACAAGCTTGCCACAAGAGTTTTCTCTTGCGGCTGGTCTTCATATCATTCTTGAAGCCAAGACGACGCGCTCAGTTTTGGCAACCCAGTATGACTTGGGAAGCGAAACGTCTGTCAGATGGGTGCTGCGCAACGTATGTGTGTGTGTGTGTGCATGTTGCCCGATGAGTTTTGAATCATTTCACTCACAGGGCAAAGGAACAACCAGTATGCCAATGGCTAAATTTGGTCAGTGACCTTCTTAGTCGATGCCAGTGGCGTGGCCTCAAGCCGAGGACCACCTGTCGGCGGTGCACCCCCACCACCACTTGCTGCGGGGCACCATCTCCCGTGAGGCGGTCGCGGAGGTGAAGCGACGCCTGGAGGCCAGCCAGGAGAAGGCGAGTTGCTGGGAAGCAACTGGCTGCGGAAGTCTTGGACGGGAAGTATTGGTCGGCTGGGTTGATTGGTTGTAGGTGTGCTGCTTGGTCGGTCGGTTGGCTGTGTGGGATGCTGAAACTTGTAGGTTGCAGCCCGGGGCATGGTGGTTCGGTGGTTATTGGATGCTCAACCTACTCGGTTGTAGCCAGGGTTATGAGCCAGCCACCTCCTGTGGTAGCACTTACTAAGGCTGAATCTATCTCGAAGTAGGATCCGAGGTGCCATAGCTGGATGGCCTTTGAGAGGCAAATCTGCAGGCGAGTTCCACTTTTTGCCTAGGGTGACAGACGTCGAAGATTGACTTCGGGCGTGGTTTGATTCAAAGGACGTCCATGATGGTGCACTGACTCCGCCAATCGTGTGAGTTTGCCAGGAACCTCAGGAGGAGGATAAGCATGTATCTCTTCTGAGTCTCCGGCCGCTTGGACGCAACGGCTTCAGATCCTGTAAGCTTCATTGATGACTTGTTTTATTGATTGCTATGTTGGGTCCGTGGGTGTCATGTTCGAGGAAAGCATGTTATCTCCAAAGCACAGCCCCTATGAAAGCGCCTAAACACGAGGGGAACACCTTGCGATTTTCAAGCGAATCCTATTCTTGTCCACGTTGCGAAAGGTGGCATGGACATTTCATGGCAGAAAGGCTTTGAGCCTGATGGATCTGGCAGGCCTCAGGTACCAGGGTTAGGCGAACCATGGGTCAATCCCATGTTAAATCGTGGGAATCAGCCACCGTACCGTTGGTACCGTTGGCTTTCTGTTCAAGGGGACGGGTCCAGTTGTGTCAACCAATTTGGCCCAACCCTGGCGGAGTTGAACGGGGGGCGGGGCCATCCCTGTCTCAGTGTCCCTTTTGAGTGTGGGACAACTGGTGCAGCATTCCCACTTGTCTTGTTTGAGGATCCTTTCAGTGTGAACATCTGGTGAAGCATGATAGCAAAGAGATGAACATCTACCACGAGATGCAACAACCATGTTGGAACACCAGCAGCATGAGGTGCCTTAATTGCCAGAATTGCAACAACAGTAAACAATCAACGATTGCAACATATCATACACCATTGGGAGGGGTGCGCCGGTTGGAAACAACAAGCCCTTGTGTTTTGTGCACGACAATGCAGCTTGTTTGGGGGACAATCACGCACTTTCCACATTTTGCGGGGGGCGATAGCCACCAATCCGAGATTTCCGGCTGAACTTTGACCACACCTGGAGACTGAGGTGGGAGGACTCCCAGAGATTCGGGCAGCTCCTGGCTGACATTCTACCGCTCTCGGTGGACCCCTTGGCCACGGTGCAGGAGCTTTACATGACCCTGAAGGCGGGTCTGTGTTTTGCATTGGGTTGTTACCTAACGCACAACTGTCTCGTCCGCCGAAATCCATTTGTGAGTAAGGGCCAAAATAATTTGAATGGGGGTGTGGGGTACGTGACAATCACATGAAGTCATGATCATAGGAGATTAGATTGTCCCTTTTGGGAAGCCTAAAGTTGTTGTAACAACACAATTGTGTCCCTATTTGACACATTTGGCGGATGGCATATAAAGTGGACAAGACCTGAAGGATGTATAGATGTACAAGACCTCGAAACAAGGGTCCCGTACAAAGGTTGGTTTTGAGTTGATTCCTTTTTGAAGTACCAACCAAAAGGGGTTCCATGTTGAGCAACCTCTTTATGGATCCTGAACGTTTTTACATGATGCGAGGTGGTGCGCAAGGAGGTGGCTTACGTCACCGCCCATGGCGTTCTGCTGGGCCGAGTCGGCTTTAAGGAGCCGATTTTTATCTGTGTGTGTGTGTGTGTCTGTGTGTGTGTGTCTGTGTGTGTCAGTCTGTATGTTTGTTTCTTTCCGAGGGTACCCTCTTTTGGATCGCTTCATATAAAGGGAAGCCAACAAAAAACACCCTTCATTGTAGTGTCCGAATCTCTATTTTGACGCATACCCTGGCTACTGGGGATCCAATCTCACCCGTTTTTTGCTGGGCAAGCCTTGGCCACGGCTAAGTTTCACCCGCATCTTGACAGGAGCTCATTGGCGAAGGCATGCCCATCGCCAAGGGTCTGGGCGCTTTCCATGATCAGGACGCAACACATACATATATATATATATATGTTATACCTGGACCAACCACGTATGCAGAAAAAACGCCTTCGAGAGAAAATGCACAAAAAAAATGGCATTGTTCTTCAAAAGCGCCTTTGTGTTCAAAAAAGGCTTTCGCAGCGCAATGCCACACTGACGCATTGCCTGGTCTGTCTGCCTTCTCGAAGCCTGTACGTGAGAACCTTTGATTTGGATCTGCTCATTTGGACATCCATTTCTTCGACATTGGCCGTTGCTGCATGCAGGTTGTTTTCCACCAGAGAGCCGTCTGAATCCCCTCATGGCCAGCACTGTCAGTTCGAGGGGCCGATTTGGAATGAGAAATATGGCGTGAATGTCAGCCAAAACCAGTTTTGCAGCTTGCTGTTGTTTGTTCCGGCAATTTCCGCCTTTTTCCGGCAATTTCCGCCTTTGTTCCGGCAATTTCCGCCTTTGTTTTGGCAGTGGGTGCTTTTGTTTTCATGTGCAATTTCACGAGCCACTGGCCAATTGCGTTTCTGGAATAAAGAGTGCTGCTGATGCGCTGAATCCGCACGCGATTCGTTGAGGAAAGTGATATTTTCAATAAAGCTGCTAAAGAAAATGCTCTGCCCATCTTTGTAGACCGAAGCATGCGCGCAATCCAACATGTCAAGCACGGAAGCACGAGCCCCGGCGAGGGCTGAGCCCAAATTGGGGTAAGCCCCCCCATATTTCAGAAAAACGCCCTCGATCTAAAAAATAAGCGCCCAGTCCAAATTTAAAGAAACTTCTGAAAAGGCAAAAAAAACTGCACACTTAAGACGCTGCAGGTATGGGTTCTTCAAAACAAGGCACCCCACGAATGCGCGTTTTTGTTCTTTTGTTTTCCCATTTAAGCATCCCGACAAGGGTTTCCAATGTCAGGACTTGGCCTTAGACGTTGTTGGCCTTGACAGAGATGACACCAGGGCTGTTGAATTTATGTATCCAGTGCTTCTATTCACCCTGGCATAGGCAAGAAGCCTACAGCGCCATTTGACACGGGATGGACAACACCCAGTTGCCCAGAGGTGCCCTGTGTTTCCATGTTTTGGGAGGGGTGCCCCTTTAAAGTCAACCAGCCAAACAAGCTGATGCCCGTTTTTTTCCCCATGGAAATCCACTGGGCATCTTTAAGAGCAAGCTGCGGCGGTATGGCAAGTTCTAGGAGACCTTCAAGGCGATCTACAATGCCGAGAGCCCGCAGAGCTGGGCGGGGATGTAGGCCCGGGCGCTCCCAAGAGCCGGCTCCGAGGTGCTTTTTGGGTGTGGCCTGGTAGAAAGATTGTAAGTGCTGGCCTCGCAGAATTGAAAGTGGTCCCAAACAGGTTCTGGCAAAATTGAGTTGGATCGATAGATCCCGAGTCTCCATCCAGATCCGCAGGGTTGGATCTCTGAACTGGGATTGCAAAGCAACTCGCAAAGGAGATTCCTCCAAAATACTTGTTGGGGCTGCATGTTCAGTTGGAGTGCAGGCCTCCCTTCGGAGACCAGGTGGCTCTACTGGCCGGTTCCCTCCAGGCTTCCTTTCAAAACCATCCAAGGAGGCTTCCATGTTGGGAGACCTGCAGGAGCTTGCAATGATACAAATGGAAACGCCTGATCAAGGTGCCGGTTGTTTGCTTCGTGCAAAGCATGACATTTATGTCATGGCATTGAATGGTGTCGTTTGTTGATTCTCTTAATTAAACACATTATGACTCCCTGATGTGCTGTTTCAAGTGGTGCTGATCAACTTGATTAGATTGGTTTAAGCTTGTATACATGTTTGCGAGCGTGGCTGTTCTACATGTCGTACCACAATTAGATAACACATGTTTCTAGAGGCAGTTTGTTTGTGTACTGTAGCCCGATCTGCCTTGCAGCTTCTTGAATTGTGTTGAAGCTCATTTAGGGAACATCTCTCGCTTTTTCTGTCATGTTCTCGTGTGTGCATGATGCAGGCTCTCTCTCGTGCAGCCACGTATGGAGAGGAAACAAAAGGCCGACGCGGCGCTCCTGGGCGAGGGAGATTTTTTTTGATGGCGGCAGCCTAGGCGAGTTGTCTTCCATGCTACTTAGGGATGTGCTTTGTTTATGACATGCTATGCAATTGAACCGACCTGCTTTTGGTACCCTCAAAGAAGCACAAACCTACCGTCGGTGGGCGGCGAAATAAGCCTGAGGGAGGCAGTCTAGCCGTCAACAGCTTGCCCGGCCAGGTACGCCACGAAGCGGGCGCTTTGGCCAAGCCTGGGCAGCTAATGTTACGTCGTTTGTGACAAGATGATGTTAAGCCCGCTGATTTCTGCATGACACGAAGCAATTCAAGGAAAAAACTGTCGTTGGTGCAGCATGGTTTTGTTAGCGAGTGATGGGGTTTGGGCCAAGACAGAGCATTGAGTGCAATTATTGCAGCTCCAACAAAGGGCCGCAGAATAACTTCAGCATTCATGATGCTTGTTCGTAAGAGTCCCTGACACTTCGATGGCAAAAAAGACAACTATTGCACAGCCAGCCATGAGGTCTGCAGCCCTCGCTATGAGGATTATGCTAATTCTCCAAAACAAACCAACTTAGCTACTAGTCTCCACCAAATATTGTCCATGACGACCAAAAATGGATGGGCCCTTTTCCACACAGCCGCATGGTCAAGAGAAGTATCTATGAGCCTCTGGACATTGTGAAACCCTCCCATACCCCATACGTACAATATGGTGCCTTCAGCCCAGAGGGATGACATATATGAATCATAGCTGTGGCACCTTTTTTTTTTTGGGGGGGGGGGTTGGGGGTGGTGCGGGCTGCAGGTCCCGTTTCCCGAGAAAGGCAAAGAGGTTTCTGGGCTGCAGGTTTCGGACCAGAGCCTGAAGCACACCTTGGAGTTTGGCATCGGCATCCACCACGCGGGTCTTCCCGAGCGCGATCGCAAGGCGCGCGCTCGCAAGGGAGGTGGGCCGCTTGGCCAATGGAGCGGGAAGACATGGCGAGGATGTGCAGTGCCTCATGTGCCGCACAAAATGTTTGGACGTGTTCGGAGATTGGGATCGCTAGCGCCTCAGTTGAGCTGGGAAGGTGCCAGGATAAGGGACTGTTGTGTGGCGTGTTTAGACAAAACGGCGACACAAGACCGACTTTTTGGAATTGGACTCGTTCCTTCTCGAACATCTCGGTTCTCTCTAAATGCCAGGGCGCAAGCTCCATTTTGTTTATTGTTGATTCTACATGCTTGAGGGTTTGCCTGAGGACACCGCTCTTGCAGCATGTTGGCATCAGATGCCCCTCAGTAGATTGTAGGGGTGTGTGAGCGTGGCAACTGGTGCCGCAGGTCGTTGAAGAGCTCTTTGTGGAGGCAAAGATCATGGTTCCTTGGCTGCGCTTCCGATGCAGGCTGGCCATCATGGCTTCTGTCTGAGGCTTGAACATCCTTTGTTGACTCGATGGCTTCTGTTGTAACTCACATCCAACACTAGGCACTAGGTCCGACTCAGAGTTGTTGCACCTTGCCTGGGGACACCAACGGATATGTTTTATGACAGTGCCATAATGATTATCTGAGTTCCCCTCGCAGTGTATTGCTGTAGTGTTTATTGTTTGGGGGGGTTGTTTGTGTGGACGTCGTCAAGATGCTGTTCAATGCTGGGTTCAGCGTGAATGCCTGCTGTGAATGGTGCTCTGGCCATCCTTGCATTGTCTTTGTTCTTCCAGATGAATGCAAAACATGCCTAAAACATGCAGGCTGCTCACCTCACCCCTCGATTGATTCATTTGTGGAGTTCGCACAAAGATGTGTGTCAAGAGGCCGACTGTATCAATGTTGATTCAGCATGGGGAAATGCTTTGTTTGGGCGAGTTGGACCCTGCCCCCAACCACTTGTCCCCCTTGGAAAGACCGATTTAGCGGCGGTTCATCTCAATCTCTTCATTCTGTTAATGGATGGCTTTGGTACGATACGCTCTGAGGTGCTGATTTCCACCTCCACTCTGGCCTGGGGTGTGAACTTTCCGGCTCACCTGGCGGGGCTGGGGGCTGGGGGCTTCGGGTGTCGAGTTGATTGCTTGACCGGACTTCTGTGACCCATCGCTCATGCCTTCAAACAGCACTTTAGACACAACATTTGTGTGCTTATTCATTCGTCAAGCCTACACAACAAAATGCAGCATTTTGGAACTTGGGCGCTCTTTCATGCTCGGAGCTCTCAATCATACGCTTCCACACACAGCAACAACTTTTGACCGTCAATGTTCCATGGGGTGCAATCTCACCAGAGGTGGAACTCACTCTTCTCATGGCGTGAAGCTTGTTCAAGAGACAAGTCGTCTTGCAGATGCAGACGTCATTGAAAGGTGCGCTTTCAACACTTGCTGTTGATCTCTGTTGGTTGTACTGCGAACTGAGACTCCGCATCTATAGGATGTGTGCCTGATTATGTTTCTTTGGGTGGGTATGGTACGCTATCTACTGCACAGCCTGGCCTCATACCAGGTGATCATCAAAGGCACTGAGTACTACGACGGCCAGCTCAAGCGCTACGTGGCGTGGCTGTCATATGATGCAGACCCTGGTCCCTTCCCTCCCATCCAGAATCACACCCTTGGGGCAGCCGGCAGAGTCAGTTTAGAAGCCGCACTCATTCCGCTGTTGAGTGCTTCGCAGCAAGGCATATAGCTTAAACCGGACGCACAGAAATAAACAACCTTTCGCCTTTGCATCAAGGCATTCCTTGGTTGCAGCATTTTGAAATGGCATCGTAAAGCAAATGCAAGTACAGCAACTGCAAAAACAACTCTTGAACATGATTGCATGGCCGAATGGAACAGAAGTCGCAGGTCCTGCTGTTGGCAATGATAGGGATGCGTTGAGCCGAACCAGTGATGAGGAGAGAAGCATGTTTCACTTCCGGTTTGCTTTCCGATTGTTTGCCTTCGGCGCTTCAGCCGGTTCACTCGGAGCCGGTAGCCAGTCGGAGCTCGTCGGAGTGGTCCGGGTACCATGGGGCGCTTGGACTGGGCTCAACGTCATCTTGGACGGTGTCCCACCATGAATTGGACGGGGCTCTGGGATCCCCCCCATGGCCCCCCATTTCCAACATCCCAGCAAAGCGTTGCCCTATCTTTGAGGCACCACCTGCGCGTCAGGTGGACTTCCCTATCACCGACGTCTTGCAGATGATGGGCCGCGCCGGGCGGCCGCAGTTCGACACCGAGGCCCGGGCCGTGGTCATGGTCCACGAGCGCCCCAGTCGCAGGCAGTCGGCAGTCGAAGGCTGTGGTTATGGTCCAGTCGCGCCTTGCGTTCCGGGTTCTGTGTGTAGGCTATGGGAATACATATATATATATATACAGAAGTCTCCAGAAGGTCTCTATATATACCCGGTCTATATATATATATATATGTATGTCCTGCATGTGCATTCTTCAGGACCAATGCTAGAAGTAGGTTCACACATGTTGAATTGGTGGATGATGTGGATGCAACTCCGCCCTTGTTCACTCTGCCATGGATCCTTCAGCCTTGGTTTTCTTGACAGAGGAAACTCCGACCTGCTGCAAGTTGTTTGACCTGGGGTTAAACACAATGAAGGCAATGGACCCAGCTCGGCGATGAGTTCAAGCGATTCCTCCCAAATACAGACGCACGCAGTTTGTGGCGTTGGGCGGTCAATTTGCGCACAGGGCCATCTCAAGTGCCATCAACAGCCCATATTGCAGGCAAGTACACAGAGCACGAGCTGAGTTGGTGAGCAAGTTTGTTCATTGCAAACGGGAAAGGGCCTCACTTGCGTTGTACCATGTTGCCTCAGAATGCTTGACAGGGCCTGCCAGCTCAATGTTTAGCAAGCCAAACAGAATATGTGAAGTGCGGGGTTGTGCAAGGAGTGCCCTCCAGACTCAGTGGTTCTCCCTGGAAGTACATGTTGGGATTGGTTGCTTTACTGGGTAAGTGTTTCAATATTGTTGCCTGGATAGATCCTTTGATAGTTTGTTCAGATTGCTGTGCATTGCTTGCTGGATCTGTCATTCATGGTGGCACGATCCAAACAACTCGGCCAAAGGCCCGGGACTTCAAGTTTGACCCAAGGTTGCTTCTTTGGTTGCCTTGTCAGATTTGGTTAGAGATGTTGAAGAAATCTTCCGTCGATACGCAGCTAAGGCCAAAGAAGAACTTCTACCGTCGCTCCTTGCCTGATCTTCCATGAGCCAAGGCCAAGCGGGCGATTCAAAACACTGCCACAAGTCTGTGTGAAAGTGTGGAAGGCTTTGTAAATCGATCTTTGACAGCCCAAGTAGGCTCATTTCATGGGATGTGCTCGCACAACACATTCAGAGGTGCAAGTCATCCGGAGGGCACTTTCAAGACTCGGACGGGACTTGCGTCTCCTGACGCAGACCTATCAATATCAAAGTCAAGATTAAATGCCAAGCATGGGATCAGTTTCTGGGTTACTCGTGCTTGATGCTTTTGGGACTTTCTTGTGACCCATCCACCAAACACAGTCCAAGGCCATATGTGACGGGTGCCATTCAGCTTACTCGGAACCCAGGCACTGCACATGTGCCAACAGCCAGCTGTTTGGTTGGCTTTGGCATCTCCACTCCTCAGATTTGCAAACCAGCGGTGTGATTGGCTATACTAAATCATTATTTGAGTTCTTGGCCACCACACCGTTCCCGGGGCTGTGTCAAGATTCGCTTTACAAAGAAATGCCAGTCTTCTATTAGCGTCCATGCAAGGAAGGGCTATGAACATGCATCCTGAGCGATTGACTCACGGCCAAGGATTCATTTACGAGCCTTTCCCCGTGGAGTCCTCCTTACATGAGCAGCTGACAGATCATCTGAATGCCGAGATTGTGGCCAAGACCATCAGGACGCTCAGCGATCATTGCCCTGGAGTGAGTCGTTGTGAAAGACGTGATGGAACATAGTACTGAACAGGATCGCCTGGGAAAAGCATCGCAACTGCCGCTATATGACGCTTCGTTCTGATTTGCATTACGAATGAAGACGTCGGTGAAATTGTGCTCATTCTTTTCAGGGGATTTAGTTGCAGCTACCTCAAACGTCATGGGATGCACTACAGTATTGTTTTTCAGTTTAGTCCCTGTATGCGCTTCAGTTTCATTCCCGCCGTTGATTCTCCTTTTTGGCTGCGGATGCCAACTTTAAACGATGCCGCTCATCTGACAGGACAAGAGAGGAGGCCATCGACTACGTGACATGGACCGACCAGATATGCTTGTTGAGCTGAAAGTCACTGAGGTTCAACCCCGGGGCAAGGTAGCAGGGATGCTTAGCTTTGGTGCGTTTCGTGCACAGCTTTGGCGTTTAGACACAATATAACTCAGCCAGTTGCGGCGCCAACATTCATGCTGCATGACGCAAGGCCTAGCAGGCGGCCAGCTTTGGCAGGACCTATTTCTTCCGTCGCCTCACGGCCAACCCTGCCTACTACGACCAGCAGGCGGCACTATTGGAGACCCCTGACTTCGAGAAGCAGAAGGCAGGGGTCCTCGGCTTGGAGCTGGCTCTTTTTTGAACAAGGTTTGCTTGGAAACCGCCGTTGTTTTGAGAGGCAGCCATCTAATTTGACCCGAGCGCCTGTGACTTTGGAACACATCTGCCCACGTTTTAAGCTTGAGTATGTCTATATACATGGCTTTGTGTGCAGCAAATGTACTCTACTTAGAAGCTGACCTTTGAGTGGAGAATTCAGGATTAGTGTTGTGTCTTCGTCCCAAACCAGTGAACACACATGAGTCCTTTGGTTTAATTGGATCTGCATTGGCCCCAAACAGCACATGTACTGCATGATTCCTGACCTGCCGTGAGCTGTTTTTGTGGCATCGTGGAGGACATGCTGGCCAACTACATCGAGCGGCTGATGAACAAGTTGCTTGAATAGAATGTTGCATGCTATTGTGTTTTGGCTTTTTGCTGCTTGCTACTTGTTCTCACTTACTTGCTGAACTGCTAGCCGTATGCGGCATTTCCCCAAACTAGCCAATTGCCATTGATGGTGAAGCATGCAGCTTTGCATACAGTTTGTTCAAACTTTTTTTTGCAGGGCATCAAAGTGATGGGGCAACACCCAGCCAGCGTTGCTCAAGCCGAAAGCCCCGCACTAGTGTTTGATGACGAATTTATTGCCAATCCTATTCAGCAAGTAGCCCTTGTATGTTGACCGAATTCCTTGCCAGATTGTGTAAGTGCTTGGTGAACCTTCAGCACTTCTGACAAGCTTGATCAGCAGTTTTGATTGTGAGGGTGTTTGCCTGTGATACGGATGTTGGAGGAGTGTTTTTTCAACATATGTTCAAGCAATCTCACTTCGTGCATTTGTAACGTGTCATTTCAAGTTTTGTCTCCCTTCGTATGCAACGCATAGCCATTTCACTGCTTGTTATCCATGATCAAAGCTTTTCCCCAAGACAGCCAACTGCAACCACTCAATCACCCGGCCCCACTCGCCGCCCGGGACATCTACAGACCAAGAATATGCAGGACCGTGCGGGGCCGTGCATATGAGTTAGGCATACTGAAGCATAGCAAGAATGAAATGAAATACACAAACGGCAGCAAACGGGAAATGCTGGCAGCTGACACTCATGGCCTCAGGTGCTTGGATGAGCTCATCCGCTCCGGGTGCATTGAGCTCAAAGAGGACCAGGTCACGCCGGCAGGCGACGGCGCCTGGTGGACGGTCGGGTTCTGAATCCCAGCATTTGTGCATTTGGTCGGACGCCACTGACCTTTCAAACCTTGGTCGACTGTCAGTTCTACTTTAGGTGGGCCCAAAGTGATTTCGAGAGTGCAGCGCTGAGGCGCGTGTATGTGTATAGTGTGCGGGGCACATGCGGGAACGCCGTCAACCCTTCTGCGAAATCAAAGGACCTGCTTGAAGAAGACTACACTAAAGGGCGGGAGGAAACATGCTTTGGGTAACATACTGAATTGGGTGCAACCAAGCTGCACTACAGAGCGGGTCCGGATATGTCTCTGTTCAGGCACGGGCTGCCTGCTAAAAGCAGCAAGACTAGCATGTGCTTCCCATTTTACTTGGATGTAAGACATATCTGTCCGCGATTCAGTCATTCTGGATGGGGTCAGTCCCTTGAACAAATAGTTTCTTATCAACACCTGACCTTTTGGCCTTCAGATTTGTTTTTGTCATTTTGACGATGTTTGACATGATTTTATATGCATCAAACGTCAGGCATGGCCTCCGCTCTGGTGGAACCCACCAAGTTGGGGCGCGGCTTGGCCACACCTCTCTTTGCTTTCGGCAGATCCAAGCCTCGGGAAACCTGCTGCGGAAGGGTGGGGTGGTTGTTGGTGGGAGGGGTGGTTACATCAGTACCATGGGCCGGGAGCTTTCCCCCCAGCACCAAACTGAAACTAGGCGCTTGGGACCCTGGACTCAGGTTTCACATGTTGCATTGGGGAGAAACAAACAGCGAATAGAACAACAGTATCACCCTCGCACAAATAGGGATGGGACATGGCTAGCAGGCCACACGTGCGTAAGTATGGGACACGTGGTTCGCCAGGACGCATGCCGTTTGGAATGAGGTGCACGATATTGAATGATTATTCCATGGCGTGATTTGGTGAGGTGGGACGGTGGGACAGATGAAACTCGTTGGCTCATACTTTCTGTTGGACCTCGAGCAATTTGTTGCGCAAAAGGTTTGCCACCGAATGGGAGACGCACTTCAGTAGAAGCAGTGCAGAAAGCGCATGCAAAGACCCGCACAATGATCGCAAGTATCTTCAACCGAGCACAGTGTTAAAAAGTGCTCATTAGCAAAAACACAACAATCGCTTTTTGATTGCTCAGGCAGAATTGGAAGAATCGGACACGCATGGCGTGTTCGAGCAGAAACAAGCCGAGCCCATCAAATCCTTAAAAAGGGAGTTCTGTAAAGAACAAAGAACAAAGAGCTGCGACACTAGCGTGTTCCACCTGCGACAGTCCAAGCGGGGTTGCGATCCGGCACACATTTAGCGTTTGTCCGTTCTCACACTAACCCATAGCTTGCAAGCAATCAACGGCACCTTCTTCACGAATACAGTACTTCATACTCTCCAAATTACTTCCTCGTGTTTTGCTAGCTTTGGATACTTATGAACGATTGTTTTTCAGATGTATTCACAGATCCACTGAGCACCTTTGAATATGTTTTCCTCGTCATGGGCCTATCCCTTGCCTGATTAATTCCCGTTTGCAAGCCCAGAAAAAGGGTTCTGAACTGTGCATATTGCCCTTACCAATCTACCAGTGGCTGGAGATATTGAAAGAGAGAAGAAGCGAATTCAGGAGGTGATGCCAAGGTGAGCAGAGTGAGCAGAACAGTCTGGTGAGCCTAGGAATTGCCTCTCTCTACTACCTGAGCCATCGCACTGTTGCACAGCTCCTCGGCTCAGTGGTGGCAGCCTACCCGCAGGTCGTCTAAGGAACAGTCACGCGGCGTGTGGTTGGTTTGCTTGCAAACTGGTGTTTCAACTGTAAGCCAGGCAGGAAAGTTGGTGTTGTTCACGATCTGTGCAGTCGTACTGTTTGTAGAAGGTGCTTGGTGACTGGCAATGTCCACCTTTGATTAATAAAAGGAGGCCCCCCCCCAACTCCCCTAACTAAAGCTAAACGGTTGTTTTCAATTGTGTAGTCAAAGGAAGTTTAGAAGGAACTTCCGTGTTACGGCAACTAATTGAAAGCCAGCTCTCTGAGACAAGATGCAAGAGAAGGAATAAGCCCACGAGAAAAACTGCGCGCGCGTGTGGCAGGGGAAGAGAAAGTCGTAAAAAGCGTGGCCCTGTGCGTGAATCGGCGTTTTCGAAGATAAGAAAGTCGCAAAAAGCGTGGCCCTGTGCGTGAATTGACATCTCCGGAGTTGCGAAAGCTAGCCTGTTCGCGGCGTCTGGTCGGAGCGGGTTCGGAGCATGTTCGGAGCGGTCTCGGACTGCGTTCGGCGCCGGGCCCATTGGCACGGCAACGCAGAGGTTTCGCAAGGATTGAAATAAATGGCAGGCGCGGCACTTTGGCAAGGTCTGGCGCAGATTTCGTGGCAGGGGCAACACTTTCGCAATTTCAAGTTTTCCCAAGGCTTGAAATGCGTGGCAGGCGCATCACTTTCGCAATGTCAAGTGCAGAATTCGTGGCAGGTGCATCACTTTCGCAGGGTCAAGTGCAGAATGCGTGGCAGGCGCAGCACTTTCGCAATGTCAAATTCAGAATTCGTGGCAGGTGCCGCACTTTCGCAAGGTCAAGTGCAGAATTAAGGTCAAGTGCAGAATTCGTGGCAGGTGCAGCACTTTCGCAGGGTCAAGTAAAGATTTCGTGGCACGCGCAGCACTTTCGCAAGGTCAACTTTCGCAGCCGGGGCTCGAACATCGTAACTTTTAAGTACGAAAGTAGTACGCGAAGTCAACTTTCGCAGCTGGGGCTCAAAAATCGCAACTTTTAAGCACGAAACGTGAAGTCCACTTTCGCAGCTGGGGCTTGAAAATCGCAACTTTTAAGTACGAAAGTAGTACGCGAAGTCCACTTTCGCAGCCGGGGCTCGAACATCGCAACTTTTCAGCACGAAAGTAGTACGCGAAGTCCACTTTCGCAGCTGGGGCTCGAAAATCGCAACTTTTAAGTACGAAGGTAGTCCACTTTCGCCGCTGGGGCTTGAAAATCGCAACTTCAAGTACGAAAGTAGTACGTGAAGTCCACTTTCGAAAGTCGCAACTTTTAAGTACGAAAGTAGTACGCGAAGTCAACTTTCGCAGCTGGGTGTCCAAAATCGCAACTTTTAAGTAAAAGAAGTAGTACGTGAAGTCCACTTCCGCAGCTGTAGTATGTGAAGTCCACTTTCGCAGCTGGGGCTCGAAAATCGCAACTTTCAAGTACGAAAGTAGTACGCGAAGTCAACTTTCGGGGCTTGAAAATCGCAACTTTTAAGTGCAGATATGATATAGATGGAGAGATAGATAGATCGATAGATGAATAGATAGATAGAAAGAGATAGAGAAAGAGACAGAGAGATAGATAGATAGAAAGAAAGAGAGATAGAGAGATAGATAGATAGAAAGAAAGAGAGATAGATAGATAGATAGGTAGATAAATAGATAGAGAGGTAAATAGAAAGAAAGAGAGATAGAGAGATATAGATAGATAGATAGATAGATAGATAGAGAGGTAGATAGAGAGATGGATAGATAGAGAGATGGATAGATAGAGAGATGGATAGATAGAGAGATAGAAAGATAGGTGGATATATAGATAGATAGAAATATAGATAGATAGATAGATAGATAGATAGATAGATAGATAGATAGATAGATAGAGAGATAGAGAGATAGAGAGATGGATAAATGAACGTGAGATAGTGAGATAGAGAGATAGATGGATAGATAGATCGAGCGATAGAGAGATAGACAGACAGAGAGAGAGAGAGACAGATAGATATGCAAATAGAGGGTACATAGATAGAGAGATAGATAGATAGAGAGATATACAGATAGAGAGACAGATAGATAGATAGATAGATAGATAGATAGATAGATAGATAGATAGAGAGAGAGAGAGAGATAGATAGACAGATGGATAGATACGCGGGAGATAGATGGAGAGATAGATAGATAGATACATAGATAGATAGATAGATAGATGGAGAGATAGATAGATAGATAGATAGATAGAAAGAGATAGAGAAAGAGATAGGGAGATAGAAAGAAAGAGAGATAGAGAGATAGATAGAAAGAAAGAGAGACAGAGAGATAAATCGATAGATAGATAAACAAACAGAAGATAGATAGACAGATAAATATATAGAAAGAGAGATAGATAGATAGATAGATAGATAGATAGATAGAGAGAGAGAGAGAGAGATAGAGGGATAGATAGAGAGATGGATAGATAGAGAGATAGGTAGATATATATAGAGAGATAGAGATATATATATATATATAGATAGATAGATAGATAGATAGATAGATAGAGAGAGAGAGAGATAGAGGGATAGATAGAGAGATGGATAGATAGAGAGATAGGTAGATATATGGATAGAGAAATAGAGAGATATATAGATATAGATAGATAGATAAGCAGATTGATAGATAACACGAGAGATAGATAGATATGTAGTTAGGTAGATAGATAGGTAGAGAAAGATAGATAGACAAGCAAACGAAAGAAAGAAAGAAAAGACAGATAGAAAGAAGGAAAGAAGGGAGGAAGGAAAGAAGGAAAGAAATGAAGAATGACTGGGAAAAAAGGAACAATGAAAAGGAAGAAGAAGAGAAAAAGAGTCAAGAAAAGAAAGAGAAAGATAACTATAGTTTTAATATTTTTGAAAGTTCCGCCCACCGGCTTCGCCGGCTCTACGGGTATTCAAAGTGACATTTTTGGAGTTGGGCTCCAGCAGAATTGGAATGAAGAGGAACACGGATCCAGAAGAATTGGGATGAAGATGAAACTAGGAAGCCACAAGAATGGGAATGAAGAGGAAACAGGATCCAGAAGAATGAGAATGAAGAGGAATCCAGTAATCCAGAAGAATCGGAATGAAGAGAATTCAGGAACCCAGAAGAATGAGAATGAAGAGGAAACTAGGAATCCAGAAAAATGGGAATAAAGAAGAAACTAGGAATCCAGAAGAATGGGAATGAAGAAGAAACTAGGAATCCAGAATAATTAGAATGAAGAGGACACATGGCACCCAGACAGTGCAAACCACCCCAGCACAGGTATAGGCATAGGTACAGGTCTCAGGTATACCTCTACCCCGCAGAAAAGGTACAGGTGCTGCATCAAGTGTTCCTACCCCCCCTGTTAGAATTAACATCTGCTTTAAGAAGTGTCAGCTTTTCTTATTCCCCCCACACTGCAGTTTAGCAGGTTATGATCATGTAGGTATAAGTCCGCAAGGGACAGGTACTCCGCAGCATTCCCAATATGTCACCGGCCGTGAAAGAAAATTAAAGCTGGGCCCGCTAAAGGGCTGCTCAGACGGCGCTTGGGCCAGCGTTTGAAAGGCAGGGCTCATTAGTGTCCACGGCTGTGTGCCAGTTTCGAAAACATCCGCGAAAGCTCTGCGAAAGCTCCGCGAAAGCTCCGCGAAAGCCTCTTTTGCACATATGTGTGCTGAAACGTTGCAGTTGAAGCTGGGGTGCCAAAGTGCACTTGGTGTGCTAGGCTTGTTCTGAAAAATTGCGATTGTGAAGCTGCTCAAATAACCTTGGGTTGCTTCGTAGCTGCAGTGGGCAGCGGGGCCTTCGCGACTCTTGGCAACGCGGCCCCCGCAGGCCTTGATCACCTAGGCAGAGCGAAGTTCGTCGCAGAACATCTCGCGCAGGAAGCTCACTTTCTGCGTTCCAAGGCGGCAACACTTAGAGGAGGCCAAGGCGTCGTTTCAGCGGGAGAAGTCGGAGCTTGATGGGATCCTGGCCTCGTTGGCGCAGGAGTGGAGACAGAGCGTAGGCCAGAAAATTTCCTGCCTGGCCCAACGGCAAGCTGAAGACCAAGTACGACAGAATGCTGCCGGGCGTGAAGCACATGCACAGCCTCATCACGCATCACGCGCGCGTAAAGGAAGCCGGAGTCGCAATGTTCAGCTTTCTGCTTGGTTTTTGCGTTGCAGTTCCTTGTGTGTACCCACCTCCATCGCTCCGGGGGCTGACAGCAGCTGTCGGGCTCATGCTGGGGCAGACGCAGAAGCCAGGGCAAGAGAATGCGCAAGACCATCCCAGTCTGTGGCGCGCCTGGATGTTTTCTTGAACACGTGATGGGCCTCTGGCGCTGCTGCCCACTCAGCACTTGCTTGCTGAATCTGCGGCTTCTGCGCAATTTAATGCGCGAACACACGCAGTTCACGTTTTGTGTCAGTTCGTTCGGAATATGCTGCGTCTTGTTGTTGCAACGCAAGGCTGACAAGCCTGACTTTGTGAGCCGTACGCCCCGGCCCCAAACACGCCGGCTCTGTTGGACTATTGCCTGTGCTTGGCAAATGCATGCTGGAAGGCGGCTCGTTGGTGCGGGCAGGAACTCGCCCCATCTCTGGAGAAGCCCCCCTTCGATGTGTCCTTGGCGGGCCGATGTTTTGCGGCCCATGGTGCTGGCCAACAGGGGGAACGGCGGCCAACTTTGAGGTCTTTCTCCACTTTCTTATCACTTCCTCGACCACACACACCCACCCACCCACCCACCCACCCACCCACGCGCGCGCCCGCGCGCGCACGCACGCATGCACGCACGCACGCACGCACGCACGCACGCACGCACGCACGCCGCCGCCCACGCCCACGCCCACGCCCACGCCCACGCCCACGCCCACGCCCGCACGCACGCACGCACGCACCCACACACACACACACACGCACCCACACACACACACACACCCACCCACCCGCCCACCCACCCACGCACGCACGCACGCACGCACGCACGCACGCACCCACAGACACAGACACAGACACAGACACAGACACAGACACAGACACAGACACAGAGACACAGACACAGACACGGACACGGACACGGACACTGACACAGACACAGACACAGACACAGACACAGACACAGACACACACCCACACACACACACACGCGCAAACCTGATAGGAATTCAGCCATTTCGCAAGAGTGACGGCTGGCTTTCCTGCACGAGCAGGCGCGGCGTAAGCAAACTTACACTCAGGCAAATTCAGCCATTGCATGTCGGTGGTTAGAAGTGCTGAGTGAGCGGATCCGCGGAACAAACAGAGAATAATGATTCAGAAATAGGATAAGGATAAGGAAACAGATAGGAAAGAAGAAGCTAAAGATGAAGGGGAAAATACATGGAAAGAGAAAGAGAAAACGAAAGAGAAAGAGAAAGAGAGAGAGAGAGAGAAAGAGAGAGTGAGAGAGAGAGAGAGAGAAAGAGAGAGTGAGAGAGAGAGACAGAGACAAAAAAGGCAATCAACCAGAGAGAAACAGAAGGATAAACAGCCAGATATGTTCTTGTCTTCTGTCACAGCGCTAGCTTTGAAGGTTGTCCGTACCACGGAAGTTCTGTGTAAACGTGAGGAAGAGGACGCTCTTTTCAAATGAGGTGGTTTGGATGTATCCTTGAGGGAACCCTGAAGAAGGGTTTTCTTCCTTTCTCGCAGAGCCAGAGCTACTTCTTGCCTGCTTCAGGTTCCAGCGGACTCTGGCGAGGGAAGGCATGGGATTCGTGGAGATCATGCGGGTGCTGTGTGAGTGATCCTTGGAAATGAATTATTATGTTGTATATTTGTGTGTTGGTTGGGATGGCAGTTGTTCCTGAGTTGTTTGGACACACGCATGCAATATCCCTTTTGACATGTCAATTTCGTTGAAGGTTGGAGGTAGTGATGCTCAGGAGCAGGAGGCTCCTCAGGCGCAAGAGATATCTAATATCCACCAAGTCCGTCTGCTTTATGAAACAGCATTAGCGATGCCTTCACATGCCCAGGGACCCATTGTTCCTCCTTGTCAGCTTGGACCTTAAATTGTGTTTTGTTGGTCCCCTGGAAACACATACACGTCATGGTACATATGTACACAATGCATATGCTTGGTTCGCCTGCTGTGTGCCGAGAACTGCATACGCTCAAGCCTGTGATGGTTCATATCCATATCTTGGTCTCTCACAGGGAGACGCCTTGCAAATCAAGACCATTTGTTGAAAGACCAGAGGGGAACCAGTCAGTGGCTGAACGTCAGCAGACCAGCCTGTGTTGGCTCACTGCTTCAATGTGTTTCTTCTTATTCTTCTTCGCCGCCTCGACAACTTGTGGCAATTCTTCATAGTGTGTTAAAGCAGGTTTGCGCGTTTCTCTAGGGTTACACTCTTCATTTGCCTCACTCTATCTGGAGTTGCTCACGTTTGTAGCGTTTGGTAGCTGTCTGACCCCAGAGATACCGAATAAATGTTGTTCCGTACTTGACGATTTGCGAATGAACAATGCAAAGGCGTATGGAATCAGCATCCTGAAGGGAACAGTTTTGGGCTGCATGCTGTAGGCAACTTGGGATCCGTGTGTGTCCCAGCTTTTGCTACCGAGGTCCTGAGTATGATGAGCTGCCTGTCCGTCACAATGAGGACAAGCTTAACGCAGAGTTTGCGGAGCATTGCCCATTGGAGGCCCGTCGACCATACCAAAGCATGACAGCATTGCTTATATTGTTGGCTTCTTCTGGTGTTCATGGTTATTTTGAACACAGAGAAGATCGACTGCAAGCAACCCGGCTTTCGGAAGCTGCAAACACTCCAGACATTGAAGCGAGTATGCGTATGCGTGTTTACCTGGCAATCAGATGGTGCAAGTTGCAACTAGCAACTGTCCTACCTTTCAGAAAGTGACTACGCGCACAAAACAGGCGTGTAGGCTTGTGTTCCAAGGGTTCTGGTGTTTCCTTGAGTTTCAAGGTCTTCAGATCGATTTCTTGCTGAAACCGACTGGTTTACTGTGACATTTTTGCACCGCATGTTAGCTTTTGAACTTCATGATTCTTTGGATGCCAATGTACTTGTTGTTTGCTTTTATCATACGCAATTGCAGTGTATATAGTGCAACCCAGGAACCTAAACTCTCATTGGCAAGGCACCACTGCCGCCTGACTTCAATATGCATATTGCCATTGTGTCATGCCAAGCTGAGACATTCAGCGGCTGAGTGAGGTAGTCACTGCTGCCTTTGGCATATCGGGCGAGCAAACATATTGGCATTGTGCGCGGAGTGTCCAGCCTGGAACAGCTAAATTTATTTATTGGAGGCTCTCAACCAACATCGCACATCTTGAAGTCTGCCATCCACTGGAGTTGCGGCAGACGACAAGCCCAGCTTTGTCAGTTTGTCCGGGCTCCTGTGACTCCTCTAATTTGTTGTGTTTCGAATACGTAATGAATATGATACCATCACGCACATCACTACGCAATATAGAATACGGCAATTTAGTCTGAGGATCAGGCACTTTTGGAGATCCGAATATTCACAACCACGTTGCAACTGGTGCTTCCATCAAGCGCACGTACGTTGCATGTCGAACTGTTGATTCATTCCCGACGTTTTGCGATCACTCACTCTGCACGACCCTAAGTTTTGACAAGCAGACGGCAAGTCCAGCTGCCTGTTTACAGTAAGATTGGGGGGTCTACACAAGGCAATGCCCCATTGTTTCCACGTGCAAATGATTTTGTATGTTCTTGCATTAGGAAGCGAGCAGCCCGCAAAACATGCAAACACAACACATGTTTCACACTGGGGCTGGGGCGCTAGCTCTACTACTTGCCTGCGAGTGCAGGTGGACCTGGCGGTCCAAGCCTACGACTCCCCGCACACCAAGGCCTTTCTGCTGTTGCAGGCGGGCTGAAAGATGGCCGTCAGGTGACTTTTTCCTGGGTTGGGATATCCTCAAGAATGGCTGGCACGCCGAACAAAAACGTGCAAATGAGGCTACACCCACCAAAGAGTTCGCGTTCAATTTTATAGCAATGTGTTAGCCACCTTCTTGCTCGAATCTTTGCGTTTGGACTTTTCTGTAAAGGATTTGGGTAGCTGATCGTTTGAGCCATCTTGCCAAGTGCAAATATTGCTTGACTGCACAGTGATGCGACCCCAAGATCGGAATAATTTCTGGGCATTGATCCATCCAGGATACCAAGCAACAATTGCCATGAGGCTTTGACCAATGTGCGTTACACACCTTGTTGCCTTTGGCACCAGACCTTGCCACAAGCATTACCTAGGGCGTTGTTTGCGTGCTTCGAGTACGGAGCCATGAGACCTCGTGTTCACGAACCGAAGAGATTGAGCCAGGAGATATCTCACACTCACAACTGTTTGCATGATTATATAATCGTCAGTTTGGATGGTGCCTGCTCATTGATCAATCAATTGGGCAGAGTGCCACAGTCGGTGCACTGCCTGTGCGTGGCACAGTCAGTTCACATGCACCTCCGTGGTGCGCATTGGATCAATGACTCTGAACATGGATGGCAAAGTCAAATTATTTTTGTTGGCGGGTTTTGTAATTTTGGGTGGTCGCTGGCTGACTCACTAACCTCCAGGGCTGGTTGCTCGCCCTGTGACAGCCATTGCTCTCTGGAAGGGGTTGGCCAACGTGCAGGCACATATGTGGGGAATCTCGCTGCCCATCAATGACTACAAGACGGACCTCAAGAATCTGGGACTTGGGATATGTTGGCATGTGGGATCAACTGGCGCTCACTCGGAGCGGCCTCAGTGTTGGATCAGAACTCCCAGATATGCTGGAAGAATGTTAAAAGGTAATTATGTTAAAGGTACACTAGGAAGTTGGGTCAAACACTTGCTTTGGGAGGGACCTTGAGGGACTCTCAACATTTTCCCACCAGAACCAGGAGACTCACCAATCTTCTCATGTCCTCTTGGGAAACGATCGTAATTTTCACCGTGGCTCATATGCCACAGGTGTGCTACAAGTATGATAGAAGTTCGCCACAGGAGTCTCAGCTCATTGTTTCTTCCAGTCTGACCTTAGTACTCTTGATCATGGCGTTCTGTCTTTCTCCGTTGACCGGCAACAGATATTCTGCATGCAAGTATTCTAAATCTGAAGACATGTCATGAGCCGGAGCCCCACCGCACAGACTCTGTGTCCATCACATTGTGCCCAAAAGTGCAAATTGGTATGCGTGCCTCACAGGTGATGGTATTGCATTTCTTTATTCACTGGATTTCTTCTCGACCGTTGACCGTCGTTTCTGAGCGCTGCGAGCGAGGGTGCACTTCTGTTGCACTGCTACACAGTTCCCGTCCGGTTTTAGATCCGAGATGATATAGGTAGATGTGGGTATTGGGCCGCTCTCTCGTGCGCTTTGCACTGGGCACTCTTCCATGCGCCCAGGAGCGTCCTCGACCGGTCCATTCCGCTTATCCAGGCTATGGTGGACATAGCAGCGGAGGAGGAGCGAAGGGCCACCGGAGAGAAGAGCGATGCCACACTTCTACACTTCTGATGTGAACAGCGGACCAGGCTACTGGCACATGCCGGTCTAGATGTTTTACCAGCATGTTGGTTTGGGATACAATATAGTTGACAAGACAATGTAGTTGACAAGATATGTCGCTGCAAAGACATGGCATGCGCAGTTTGCTTGGTTGTTTCAGGCACAACTTCGGTCGACCTTGAACCTGATCCTCCTGCTGCAATGTCTCCATCAGGCCCGGGAGCAGCTGGAGGGGAAACAGTTCACATTTACTGCCCTCTGCAGCAGAGGGGATGAATTTCGCTACACTCACCGAAATACCATGAGGAAATGAAGATTACTCGACAAATGTCCTTGCCACTTGTTGAGGCCACGAATAGCGACTATGGCTCATGTAGGCTGCCTTGGGTTTGGTCATGCTGCACTTGGCCGCCACATGACAAAGTTGCCAAATGATTCATGGTGCAGGATTCAGCCCTGGATCAAGCAACAGTCTTGGCCGGTGCCTTTCTGTAGACCTTTTTCTCCACAGCATTCACGAGTTTGTGCACAGCTTTCAACTTGCTCGTGCATGTTTAGCTAGTTTGACTACATATCAGCGGGGCTGTGGCTTCAGTTCGGCAGAAACGCATCAACGCGGTGGTGCATAACCCTATGTTTGTGTGGTGTCAGTCCACAAGGAACTGAATGACAGGAGATTATTCATCTCAGCGAGTGCACGTGAGACCAACTGTGAGCCGCGGTCCAACTGCTTCAGCCAAATGCAAAGTAACTACAAGCGCGTGTCCCCAGAATCAATGTGAGGCTATTCAAGTTCAAGTTCATGTGCAGAGCAGAAAGCTAACGCTGAGGCTCACCAGCCCTGGAGAAGCTCTTTGGCAACCTTACCGCACCTGCCTGGACACCCAGCTTCAGCAGCCGAAGGGTGGCTAACTTGTGCCATCCATGTCCTTTGTTGTATTGTGCATTGTGAATTGTTCTTCCCAGAATGTCAACCTTTTTTTTCTTCAGATGTGAGCAGCTCTCGAACTTGGTGTTTATAGCAAGTCACCATCCTTCACAGGCGTGTGGAAATCTATGTTTTGAAAGAGCGACAACTGGCAGAACGGCGGGTCGTGTGCGGTATTCCAGGCATAAATCATGGAAATGTCAATATGCGATGCCATTTGTGTTTGTTTCAGCTTCAATGTAGTTCTGCACGCATGTGAAGCCAACATTCAGATGCCCAAGTAGGCCTGGTATTGGGGCTGTTGTGGTGCAGTCGGGGATTTTGTTTGGCCTGTCAGCTTCCAGGGCTAGCATTTTTGGAGAAGCAGTCATCCCGACGGTTCGTTGTTCAAGGCTATGACTCCACCAATCACCTGAAGCCATGTCCACGATGGACGTATCTCAGGTCTGACAAGGCTCTTCGGGTGCTGCGGTCCCTGGGTGTGGATTCACTGCCAGAGCTTATCGAGCGCCGGGATGCTTCCAAGGCGCCGGTTTGGCCCTGGCTTTTGTGACCTGTGTTCACTATAGGCCAAAAGCTGAGGTAGCTAGGTTCGAACCATCTTGTCTTTTTCAATGGAACCGCCCTTTGTTTGGCTTGACCGCTGATTTTGGACAATGCCCACAGCTGCAATCGGGGCACTGACTTGTTGAACCTGACCACTATGCGCTTGTGAGACTTTCAGCAGCATTTGTTTGGAAAGGCGGCCAATAATTCAGAATCCATGCCACGGCTCCCTGCAGCATGCCGTGTGCTGTTTGGGTTTCGATCATAATATGTTTCGCTGATTGGACGTCGTCAAACACCCGACGTGCCCAACGCGGCCGCCAGATCCTGACGAAGCTTTCGCTGCCGAGCGCCGACGCGGTCAAAGAGATGCTGCAGATTGTGCAGGACATGCCCAGGCACTGGTGGGCGAGCCCAAAATGGCAGAAAGGCAAGGGCGGGTCAAGGGGTATGTGTCAAAACAGGGGGTTCCAGCAAAAAACACATCCCCAGTACCATTGACAGGCATTTACCTGAGCCTTAATGCACATTGCGGGACTCTGTTTGTTTTGTACGGCATTGTGCATTGGACATGCTTAGCGGTTGATCTTTCTGTGTTTCCTTGTATGTTTATGTTCAGTCGTGATCCCATTGTGTGGCTAGACTTGTTTGTGCAATATGTTTATGTATGCGTCTTGTGCCAGCTACGCGATTTTGGCTGCGCCTTTTGCATAGAATGCGAGCTATTATGCGAGTCTTTCTGGCAGGTATGCTGGTCCACAAAATACGGCGTCATATTTGAATATGATGCCTCCTTACTCCGGTGTTGATATGTAGAGGCTGGCAAGGTAGGCGCTTGACCTTGATCGGCCGCACTGGCATGCAAGCCCCTGGATGCATGTCTAGACTGCAGGGTTAAGGTTTCGAGGTGTTCAAAGCTTGGCATGTAAACTGACTGGTCGACCAGACAGAAATGGGCCTGATAGATGCAGGAACTCGATGCCAAGTTTCTGCCAGGCTACGCATGCGTGTGGAGCTCCGCGTGCTTGACCCAGAGGCGTGCATGGGCGTCCAGGTGTTGTGCTTTGCTCAAGACTGAGGCGGAAAAGAGTTCGCGAGTTTTAATTGGGCCTTCGAAAATGGTTGGTGCACATGAATCCGCATGTAAATGATGTCCCGAATTGAACTCCACTTGCGGATTGCAAGCAGAAGGTCTGACACTATCGTCTGTCCAGAAAAAAGAAGAAGAAAACGACACCATGGTGGAGTGGGTTTCTTGAAACAAGGGGAACACATTTGCCACGAAACAGGCTGGGAGAGCGGTTCGGTTGGCTGAAGCGCCCCAGGAGCCGGGGGAGAAAGAGGCGGAGGACCCAGACAAGCCCAAGCGCCGCAAGGGTAAGCTGGTGGCATCCCCATACAAGGCCCCGTTGGTTGGTTGATGGGGCTGGCTGGCTGGTTGGTTATGGTTTGTCTTTTGGTTGGTTGGTCTTTTGGTTGGTTGGTTGGCTGGTTGGTTCGTTCGTTCGTTTGTTCGTTCGTTTGTTCGTTTGTTTGTTGGTTTGTTTGTTGGTTTGTTGGTTTAGTAGCTAAGTTGGTTTAGGGTTTAACGCGTCTTAGTTTGGGGGTTCCCCACTTCCCTAGTTTGTGACTTTCCGAGGTGTACACATATAATCATTTGTGTAGACTACGTACTTCTTCGGCCAAACTGCAACGCTCTTCCGATGTTTCAAGCTTATCACGATTAGCCTCACAGACAGCCGGCTTTCTCTGGATTATCCGCAAGGCTTGCGAGGAGACTTGCACAGAGGTCCTAACCAGAATTCAGGTGAGTCAGCAAGCAGGCGCAGGCAAATTTCGGCTCGTTTGCATCGACTATATGTAGTATGCGTGCTGCCGTGCAAGTAGCGGCATTCTGCCGAATCTGCCGTCAGCGGATATCTTGCGTCGCCTGCGGCAAAGCAGCGGATGATGACAATGACATACACAATTCCGAGGGCATTCACCATACACCATCTCTTAGCCGGAACCTGAGCAATCGCAAACGCTTCGACTGATATTGACATGGTTCGCACGTGTTCGCTGGTGTATGCCTTTCTCTCTCTCTGAATCTTCAGGTGTGCATTTTTCCCGCCGTTTGCTGAAAAAGCACAAATTTCCGTCCTTTGGCCGCGAATACGCTTTTTCACTGCAAACGTGTCGTTTCAAGCTTGGCTGAAAACATGGTCGGGGAAAGTCGCCGTTTGGTCGGGTATTGTCGCCGTTTGGTTGGGTATTGTCGCCGTTTCGCCTTCGTGGATTTGTCTCAGAAGAGCAACAAAGTGAAAAGTGCCTGGAGACACAAAAAGTGGTGTTTGTCTGAAAAAGCAGCTTTTCACGAAAAGGCATGAAAAATGCCCGCTTTGGAAGATCCAGGTATGTCTATCAAATATGGTATACTCCGTTCAGCAGCCAATTGTTGAGCGCCTCCTGCGTTCAAGACTTGCCGTTTGTCCTAAAACTACGAACGAAGATGCACAGATGCGCGCACAAAACCTGTTTTTTTTTTGAATAAACATAAGCAATCAAAGACACACACACACACAAACACTCACACGCACACCTACACCCCCACCCGCACCCACATCCCCCACGCGCACACGCACGCGCACGCACACGAACAAGCACACACACACACACACACACACAGATACCACACACACACAGGCGCACGCAAGCGCGTTCCCCACCATATACGAACCTGATATGGTGCGAACAAGGCTCTTGTTTTCGTTGCACTGTTCCGAGCACCCACAATGACACCGCTCTAAACCTTCATATTACTTGATTATTATCCCCTTCAAGGGGATCTAAGATGTTTTCCGGACCAGGACAGAACTTCTCGGCCCTGTTACGTGGCGGGGTGCTAAATGGCTCAAATATGCTTCAGCTTACCCAAGGAAAACCAAGGGCTGGGCAGTGGTTCCAGAGTTGTTTGGCAGGGCTTGAGGGCTTCGACCGGTGAAGGTGCCGCCGGACAGCGAGTTGGAACTCACCGTGGTGCTGTGCTACGACAACGAGCCCATGAAGTTCGTTCACGCGCCCAGGCACAGTCGGAGTCGTTGAAGTCGGTTTGGCCCCAAAGCAGTGATTTGACGCTTGTTTGTTTTTGGTTGCTCTGCCCAGAGAAGTGGGCGTGGGTTTGCTTGCCTGGCCTTTGTGCCGGGAAGGGAAGTCACGTGCGAATAGTTGTTTGTGATCACCGACTTAATATGTGGCTTCTCAAACATGGGAAGGCCGTACCCATTTCTTCCCACTGCCGCTTTGGTGCTTAGCAAGAAGACATGGGTATCCATGGGTATGTAGTCCTTTTGCAACGCGCTACGGCCGTAGCTGCCAGATTTCCCAAGAAGAAGACCTACTCCTGGTGGTGCATCCTGGGAGATACCGAGGCTGGCGAACAAACATGCTCGATGTCCTATCCTTCAAGTCATTTTGTGTGTTTGTGCGCTATTCATGTTGAGACGGGCCTTTTTAAAAGCTTTGTTGCAATCGGGCTGTGGAAGAGGTGCCAGGGCTGCAAAGCAGCAGCTTTCTACTAGAAACAGCATGAGTCACATGATTCCCCTGCCCCTTGCCAAAAGATTGACTCTTGTTGTTTGGCGCCCCTTGTGATGCTGCTTTTTGCAACTACCAGTTGCATAGAAGTCTTGTTCTTGGCGCCGGTACAGGTAGACGAGCTTGTCTCCATCAAGAAGGCGCTTCTGCCCACAAGGCAGGGGCTGGTACCATGGAGTTGCCGCTCTCCCCGTTAGAGTTTGTGCCCGATGGCAATTTACATGGTGACTTGTCCCTAATTTGGCTTATATACGTTCGCTTCAATCCCGCTTTTTGAGGAGGCGGCAACCTCACAACGGATAGTTAGTGGGCTTGAGCCCGACCAACACATGTCGAGCAAGTTTGAAACACTTCGGCCTTGTTGTGCAACATGCGATTTGCGAATCTTGACACTCCAGGAAAGTTTGCCCGTTGTGAACGTGTGATATTCAGTTGGCACGTCGGATTTGATTTCCAGAGGCCTCCAATGGTGATCATGAGATATTATTGTTGTATGTTTTTTGAGCTGCCTTCCTTATTTGCGAGCTTATAGCAGGTTCTTTGAGCAGGTTCCATTGAGTGGATGTCCGTCCAGCAAACTCATGTGTGTGTAATAAGCGGCGACAGATGCCCAGCTGCGCAGGCAAACCTGCTACCCACTTCCGCCAATCGACCAAACATCTCTGGTCTCACAACAGTGAACCTTGGAGAACTGCAAGGGAGTCGAACACTTGGCCCTTTTGGGCCGGTTTCGTACTGGTGAGCTTCCACTTGCCCCGCCAGTCGACTCGCCTCAGGCCCGCTTGCGCCGGTCGGCTTTCCGCAGGCAGCGCTTCGAGCGGCGGATCAGCTTTCAGTTCTGCTCCCCGGCAGACGAGGTGGGCGAGACCTTCACGCTCTCGGTGCTGTGCCGCTGGGCGATGCTGGGCGGGGCGTCAGGGATTCGGCGACGGAGAGGTGCCCCTCTGTTTTTTTCATTTCTTCGTGTGTGTGTGTGTGTGTTTTGGGTTGATACATGAAGGCGCCCCTCTGCTTTTGGGGGGAGGGGACCCTGTTTTGGGTAGATTCAGTATATTTGTGGAAGGGTTTGTGAAGGTGCGGCCGTCCATTGATCGAAGGCAAGTTCGGTTTGCGAGGCTGTTGAACTGAGTGAGAAGCTTCCACGCTCGTGAACTGTTCAGCTGCATTTGCGTCTTTGATACATATTTGCCAGTTGAAGAACCAGGGAGACTGGACATGAACTCCCTGCAGAAATACAGCTTGGCTTTGATTTGCTTTCAACGCTGGATGGATCGCCATGTTGCTGCACGCACACTCCAAGCGTTGTTTGTTGGGTCGGGACGCCAAAGATCAGCTGCACTTTGTGCAGTGATGTTGCACACAACGACGGTACTGCAGCTTTGGTCAGACAACCTATTGGCATTGCATGTGTGTGTGTGTGTCTTCTGTGTCTGTGTGTGTGGGTCTGTGTGTGTGTTTGTCCGTGTGTGTGTGTGCGTGTGCGTGTGAGTGTGGGCGGGTGTGTGTGTGTGTGTGTTTGTGTGTGTGTGTGTGTGAGTGAGTGTGTGTGTGTGTGAGTGTGTGTGTGTGTGTCTGTGTGTGTGTGTGTCTGTGTGTTTCAGTTTGACATCAACTGCGCCAGAGCCAACAGCGCTGATTCAACCCATGCCCTGCATCCGTTCGCTTTGCAATGTCACGAGCACGTTTGGGACAGGATTCCAACATTTAATTATTCTTGTAAAACCCACGTAACTGGTCAGAACAGTTTCCTTGGGATTTGCTGGGATCTATGGTGGTCATTGATGGTTTCCAACGCACCGCCTCGGTGAACACTGTATTTTCAGCTTGAGGCATGTCCGACTCCTTCTTCGGCTTGGACCAGCAGTTGGACCTGTCCATCACCACCGCGGACCCAGACGCCTGAACGCTTGAGTCGCGCGGGCGAAAGCCGCGGCTTATTGCTTGGCCCCAAGGTTTTGGCGAGACGGGTCTCCCACTCAGCCTCTGCACTGCGAGGTATTTGTTTTGTGCCATGGGTTGTCGGCCCTGTGTTGTAAGCGCTGCCTAAGAGTTCCTCTGAGACTTTTTTAGCCAGAAGACATGTAAGTGGCAGGTCTTGGCAGCAAATGGGTTGCAGCTTGCCTGCTGCTCTTTGATTGATACCGTCATGAGCCTGGCAAGAGGGTTCGGTTGGGCTTGCGTAAGTGTAGGATGAGGCAGGTTCTACGAATTAGGCATGACTGTCAATGGCCAATACAGACTTTAGGAAACTGGTACCAGCAAGTAGATGACACAGGCTCAGACACACACACAAACTTATCAGTACCCCATTCCGTTCTGCTGAGTTTGGACTGTGGAGTGTTATTGCTTGCCTTAAGGAGTCATCTTGCCAAAGCCAACGGATGCTTAGACGAATCTTAGATTCGCTGCCACGCCTGGACGCTTTGCAGGACTCCGCCACGGACATATTGGAAACGCACATCCTTCAAATATGGGTTTTGTCAACATAGAGGGACCCCCAAACATGGTGGCTAATCCGTTTGGTGTCCCTTTGAAGCAGCCTAAACACCTGTACTAACAGGTTATGTCATGACGGTTGGTCTTTGCGCATGGGCCAAAAGGAGAGGCTACTTTCAAGTGGTTTGCAGTCCACCACTTCCTTCTGCATCCGGAGCTAGCATGTGCAAGTCGAAGGTAGGACCCTACATGTGCACATCGATTTGTGGCTGCAGAAGGTCATATCTCTTACTTATGTTCTGCGACCAGTCGCGCATGTGTTTGTGTCCAATGAGCCTATTGGTGCAGTTTGCATTGTTCATCAAATTTTCCGTGCAACGTCTGGCAGCCGGCAAAGAGCTGTACAGTTTCGCTGGGGCCCAAAAGACAGGAGGCGCTGCTGCAGGAAGTTTACATATGGGTGTGATTGAAACTAGCTACCCCGTCCAGCGAGGGTTTGCCATTCGGCTTCCATTTGCCCAGTTGTTTGTTACGCTGCTTGCAGGGTTTCTTGGAAGGTTGATGTGTTTTTCTAGTCACTGGTATTGCACGGCGTGACACTTGGCCCATTCGGAGTACTCACTTTGTTCAGAAGCCTTGTGAGGCGACAGCAGACGGCGTAAGTAAGGAGCTTTTTGTGAGACCCTTTCAACATTATGTGTTATGCGCCAATAATTTGTTTTTGAACACTTCAAGACTCTCATTGGTGAACCGATTGAAGCCTTTCAGCTGCCCCCTCTGTTCAATTGAAAGCTATGGTGCACCCCGTGTATTTACGTGCGCTTGTCACCTTCAATTCTGGAATCCTCATCCAGAGGAACTCAAGCAGAACCTCCTTTCAAGGTCTGATTCAGATTGCATCTTGTTCCACTGGTCGCCCCTCCCAGCGTGGTTGGTTTCATGCCGGTCTCCCGCTTGGGACTGGGGAGTCGGTTTTGAATCATACGTGCGCGGCGATTTTCGCAGCCATCCGGCTGGAGCCCATTGGGCACGGCGGCCATGGAGAAGGCGATGGGGGAAGGGCTCGCGTTTGACGGCCAGCCGGCCAGCCAACAACCCCAAAAAAGCAAACATTCAGGGAACCAGTCAATCAGCCAACGATCCAACCAGCCAGCCAACCAACGAGCCAGCTGGCTGAGACGCATTTCTTGCACATGGTTGTACGAGACGTGCTGTTTTCTGCCTGGCAAATGTGTTTTGTTTGGGTTCCGCTTGTGTGAGTGACCAAGATTGACCAAGGGAGTCTCCTTGAAAGTGACATGCAGAAGGATCGGCATGGGCATCCCACTTCAATATTTTCCACAACAGTGGCTCTTGTCCTGGGATGCGGGTGTGCGTAAGATATGACAGAACGCCGTGACATGGTTAGAAGGGTCCCTTGTTTCAACACAGATCGCAGGATGCCCATTCTAGCCCACGAAAAGGCTTTCTTTCGGCCACAGGAATATTGGTATACCTCGCTATCCTGGATGCACGCAACCAAATAATCCGAAATCAGTTGATCCATGCAGAAATGCATCTCCCTCAACGCCCGGTGATGGCTGGGCCTTCTGACTCAGTCGGAATCGCAGAGGCTGTTGCACAGGCCGCAAAGACACGTGAACGATGTGGATTGTGCCGCGCCAAACGACATAGGGAAACAGCACAGCTTCAAAGCGCAGTTCGGTTAGCAAAGGTGGGTGAAATTCCGTTAAGGGTGTTTGGCTTATACGATTTAGTGTTGTTTTTTGTTTTTGTTTTTGTGTGCTTGCCCTTGTCACTATATTGCAATCAAACATAATTTCCTCTACATATAGTGGGACTAAGAGTCGTACTTGATCACACACGTGAATGAATGGATGGCCTACTGGTGTGCGCAGCCAGCCTCTCACCAGGTATGGTTCAAGTTCTCGTGTGGGCCCCCAGAAACCGACGATGTGGGAGTGGGACGTGTTCTGCTGTGTTCTTGCCGTTGACTGCCCTTGTGGGAAGTATTAATTGACCCTCAAAATTGACAAAGCTTGTTTGCCTGCTGACAAAGCTGGGGCTAATTGAGCCCTGCCGTTGAATTGCGAGAATAGACATCTATGCAACATAGGAAGAGAGGGCGCACAAGGCTCTGAGAGGTATCCATTGAGCAAAGAGATACGGGGAACAAGCCTCGCCTTTGGCACCCCAAGGAAAGCGCAAGCGGTGAGACTCCCTGAGAAAGTTTCAACGTGAGAGGTTGCTGAGTCATGCCCGCCAGCCACTCAGACGTGCCTTGAGAGGACTGTTTGGCTTCAAAGTGTCGGAGCCGCGCCTACAAACATGCAACCAATACAACAATCAGTTGGTTGGTCGATCAGCCAGTCAGCCAGGCAGCTTGCAAGATGCCTCATCCACTTACTTGTAGGGGCCAATCCTGGTTCGCAAACAGAGGTAATGTTGATGGACGGTACAAAGACTGCCAGCTAGGTCAATAACTGCTTGTTCGATGAGTTCGGCTAGGATACTTTGCATTGAGCTTAATTTTATTTTCTTTGAGTGTGACGAATTTGGTTGAGTGTGGCTAGCTGCTAGACCGGCTTCCAGAAGAGCGGCAGCAAGTCCAACCTGTTGTTTCAGTCATGTCAGCCATGTCGTGTCACTTTGTTTCGCATAGCCGCCCTTTCGTCTTCCGGCCACTGTGGGCTTCGTTCGCTCGCCGAGGGCTGGCTCTGGGTCTCACCTCTTGCGGGTGAAGAACCCCGGCACCGAGGAACAGGAGGCGAGGGATGTGGGCGTTGGAGTTCGCTGAGCGTGGACAGAAGGGCATAGGTTGCAGGTGGGAACAATGATTCCTATTCTTGCCATAGGCGGTGTAGGCGGTGGCTTGTTCCACAGGTCAAATTGGCATGGGCCACGAACTTTCAAGAGGACTCGAAGAGCAGAATGCAGAATATCAACGAAGCCTGGAAAGCCGGGTTTGCATGAGTCATGGTCAAGAAAGATGGCGTTGCCTACTCTCCCTTTCACAATTACGGAAGTGGTCAGATGACCTCTAAGTTTGCTCTTGGCGCCCATGGTTGGTGGTGGCGGGAGAGCAATGATCTGTTGTGTCAGGGACAATATATTTGCAGGGTAGATGTTCGCCTGCACCCATGCTTCATTGCCACGATAGATGTTGGCTGAAGCTCCAGAATCAACTATGAACTGTTGTATGTCCTACTCCAGGACGCCTGTTTATTCACTATTGTTTACCCACGTCCCAAAATCAAAGTTGGGTAATGAGACTTCGCTATGGGAGCCGTTTGAATTGCATGACTTCGGGTTTGGCTTACCGGTCCAAGTCCTGATTGGTCCTTGTCTCCAGCCCTGTGTGCCGCCTTTGTGCCAAATGCTTCCAGAAGATATCTGACCCCAACGGCAAAGCCGCCTGAGGTCATGCTGGACGGTGCTTTGGTTGAGGCCAGAGTCTCCTGACAATGTCAGGAGACTAGCCTACACGTGGGGCGGGTGCTTGCTGTGCAATGGCGTAAAGACTTGTGGCCGTGTGACACGGCAATTGGACAGGGGTAATTTCTAACATGCGCATTCGGCACGATATACTCCTCACGTCTGACTTGGATCCGATTTCGAATTGCCGTCTCAGGAGGAGGACGTAGGGCTGTGAAGGCGAAAGGTCATCCATCATAAGGGTCGCCATCTTGTTGAAGCCCTTTTCAGGCAATTGCTGGCTAAGTTGGAAGTCGTAAGAATTGGCAACACTTTTGGAATGATTATGTCTAATTAATGTTTTGAATGGCCCCCTTCTGTTGAACGCACAAGTTGAGTGTTATGACTGTCCAACCACGGCTTGTGAAATCATCAAGCATCCTATCACTCACATTGACATCTCTTTCTTGCTTTTGTTTCAAGTTGAGAGAGTCGCAGACTTTTGCTTTTGTTTTGTTTTGGCAATGGATCCCAGCGATTCCAGCAATGGAAGCTTGAAGACGTGTGCCCTCCATTTCTTCTTTCCTCAGGCGGCTTGGTATATTCCAGAAATCACCCGCCGGCCGCAAGTGGAAACACTTGCCAAAGTCAGATTCATCAAATCAACCTCCTCGAGGGGCCTCGTTTGGGGTGTGGGTCAAAATTAAGCCACCAGGGGACCGCAGGTTTGAGTTTTTGGTTCCATTTACCAGGGCAAGCCATTTTGGGGTTGGCCTCTTTTTGACCCGCTCTGTTTGGGCCAAGCAGGTCTGGTGCCGTTTTGGGCAGAGCGCGGCTTCGCTTTCGAGGCGCCCCCGGGGACGCTGACGTTCACGGGGCCCGCGGCGACGCTGCTGGAGCTGCAGGCGAGCCGCGGCGAAAAGACGAGCGTTTGCTTGCAAGGTCTGAGTCGCCCAAAGCCAACCTTGCAACCTTTTGGTTTTTTCGTGTTGGTCCATTTTTACTCGTAGCCCCACAAGGTTAACCTTTCATGTTTGGTTCATTTGGGCAAGT